ACAAATTTGCCCCGTGGTCAACATTATCCATGAATTTGCGATGTGAATGGCGCTTCCGCAATTTCTGTAGCAAACCATGCAGAAGCTTTTTGTCGTCGCCACTTCGGGTTTTGTCGCGGCTCTGCGCCGCCGCCGGATTATGTCGTCCGCCGCCTGCTTTTTGTCGTTCGCAGATTTTCTGGTCGTTTGAATTTGTCGTCGGTCTCGTCGTCGGTTTTCGTCCTCGGCCACTGTGTTTTGTCGTCGGAGCCCTGGTCCTTGTCGTCTGTTCCCTTCGGTGCCCTTCATGGTTGGATTCAGAATTCTACGCGGACTCTTCAACGTGTTCGGGGTCCTTCGCGGTAAGGTCCATCCTCCTTACCTCCAGCGTTTCACGCGCCCCCATCGGCCCCCTGGAAACGATGACCAAGCGTTGCTCGCGGGAGATCGATTCTCACACCTCGCCCACCCCGCAGAGAGACCGCGCGCAACCGCTGAAATGGGGGCCTAACACTGAAGGCGTTTGAGACGCACGACCGGCGTCGCGTCTTCTTCCGTGACAAAGACGAACGAGCGTGCTCCAAGGATGTGTGTCGCTCGTCGGTTTGTGATCCCATGGACATGGAGAGAATGAGAATCGCTGCAACGCGCCTCGAAGGCCATCCCACCAGCGAGGCTTCCCGCGTTCCGTCTGCGTGTGGCAACTCCTCTTGAGGGGTGGGATACTCAGGATGAGCATGATAAGGGCAACACCTGTAAACACTTGATGCTCATATGATTGCCCGTGCATGTTTCTTCGCCATCTTCCCGATCAACCCCTTAACTCCGCCGAAACTGACCCTCATTCAATCGTTGCCCCTCTCGCGTGCTGACCTACGCAATGACGCATGCAATCTTTCGCCCGTGCCCGCGTGACCACGTCCCCCGTGCAAACGCAGCGCCCAGTTACGGGGTGCTCGCGCGCCGCTGTGAGACGCGCGCCCGCGTGCCCGAGCGACCCGCGCGGGGTGCCCGCTCGCGCCAGTTCCCATGCTTGGCCCAGCTCTCTTTTTACCCGCCTCGGGCTCACCCCTGCTCCCATGTCCCCTAGGATTGGCCTGCCCAGAGCGATGGCAATCTTAGAGTGCGCCCCTTGAGGGTGCGCCGCGTACCTCGCAACTTGCCGACTGTACTTCGCCTCTCCCTCCGCCCCCATCGCTGCCCCCTCCATGCCCAGCTTGTCTCGTGTTCTTTCCGGCGCCCTGTGTGCTGCGCGGCTCGCTTCGACCCTTATCCAACCCTGGATGATTCTGCCGCCGTGTCGAGAGCGTCGGATAAGACGCTAGTGCAATTTGCCCTCGGGACCTGGGAAGTCAAGAGTGCGCCGTCGCGTCGTCGGAAGAGATGTGTCTGCGCGCGCGTGCAAGACGCCCCCGCCCAAGGAAAAAAGGCGCGCGCTCCTGTCTGCGCTCCCCTCCTTGATTCATCCGGACGCAGCATAGGGCCTGCGCGGCCGCAACTTCTTCCTCGCCCACCTGAACCCGTAACCGGTGAAACCCCGATCGCGATGTAAGACGCCGCGCGCGCGGGCGGACCCGCGCTCTCCAGGCGCGCATGCCAGTGAGAAATTCAGGCGCCGCAAATTCGAGCTCGAGTAGTTCGGCCCCCCAGCTGCCCAGCCCCGTTGCGTGAGCCCCTCCTGCTGCCAGAAGGGTGGCTCGTTGTAGGCTTGAACTGGGCGCGCCGCAGATGCCCCGCGCTCTTGGGTTTTTCCACGCCGCCACGCTCTATCTAATGCCATGGTAATATTCAGGTTCTCCAGGAAGTGGATGGCGATGCCCAACTGAATTCAGGTTTCAACTTGCCAGCGCGAGTGACAGCCGCGCCGTTCCCCCCGAAGTATCTATTGAAACCGAGAGCTTGCTGGACCGCTGACGCCCCATTCCTTCTCTACAACTTGTTTGGCGGACATCTCCACTCCGAGACTCCGGGGAAAAAGAAAACGAGGTCTGATTACCGCCGTCGCGCTTCTCCACTCCGACAAGGGCTCGTTGCCGACTCTGACGGCGAAAGAGCGAACTGTTGCAACAAAAACCGTCGGCAACGATGTGGGACGCCGTGCGATGCAAGGCCGCTCACGTGGTACATCCGGCTAATATGTGCCGGGGATCTGTCGTGGGTTTCAGCCCGCGCATACCTCGTTTCCAAAATATGTCCGACCACGTTGCCATTGTTTCCCGCCCGCTGCATCCCACCAGCTCTCCCCATGAACCAGCGGGGAAGGATGGTCTCACATGGGCCGCCAACATTTTTTCCAATGTCCATTTGGTCTCGCTGAGTCTCGCCTCTGTCGTCTATGATCTTCATCGGCCGCGAGATCTCCAGCTGCAGTTGTTCCTGGCCCCCTATGAATCATGAAATGGCCCGTGCCCCACGTGGAAGGCTGAAGTTTCAGATGGCATACGCCCACGAGTGCGCGGCAGCGAATGCAGCAAGTGCGATCGCCATTGGGACCACCCGTCAAGCCCCTTTTGGATCCTCTTCGACGTCATCTGGGTGAAGCCCTGGCGACTCTTGTCAGGGCGCCTAAAAACATCATGACGTAACTTCTGGTTCGCCCACGTCCTGGAGCGGCTCAATATTTCCTGCGTTAGGTACCAACCTGCAACGTTGTTCAAAACACCTGTGATCTGAATAGAAACGCGCATCCGCTTTCGCCATCCAGTACTGCATGCTTCGTTCAATGGACCCTGTGCGATCAAACATGACGCTCAATGCCATAAGCTCCCAAACGGGTTTGATCGTCACCTCCTCCCCCTACGGGGGAACAAACGAGCGCATCAGAGGTATGATAAAGGTCAGGGTGCAGACTGTCTCACAAGATTGCGCCTTCCAAATCAGCGCTTTCTGAGATTGATCACTCGTCACCCTTTGGAACATGCTGATTGCTTCGCCTGCAGACTTTCCAATGAAGAAATACTGTCGCACCATATGCCGTGCGCCACGATATGGTCTCCATCGGGTGTGAAACCGATGTTCTGCGCCACCCAATCGCCGACAACATCGTCGAACACTGCCTCCAACATTATGTTCTGGGGTTCCTTGTCGTGCGAGAGAAACAATTGAACAACACATAACTGGCGTCTGCAATCGTGGCCGCGGTCCAGAAGACATGCAACTTGCCTAACCTTACCGCGGAGTGCTGTGGATGGATTCCGCGATGGCGCACAACCCATTTCAACTCCGCCCATTGCATTCCAAATACAAGCATTGTCACCAACAGCTCCGTAACTATGCGGGTGCACATCCCGGGTTTGATTCTGTGCGCGTGCACTTGCCCAGCTTCAAACGAACACTGGATCCGTTCAGAAGACCCTTCAGATATCACGTTTGAAAGTGGGCGACTTGGCTACGAACGGGATTCCCAGGACTTGCAGCACTCTCCACCAAGGAAACGCTCCCCCAGCGTGAGGAATAACGATCCGAAACGGACCTCGCTGCGCGCTGCGGCATGGAACCTCTGGCCCCGTCGTGTTTTGCGCCCTGACGTCTTTCAATTCGTCACCATACCTCTCCCGGCACATCTCATACGCTTCTTGGCGCCACCGTGTGCTCGTCCGCCATAAATGCGCCATGGCGTCGTTCTGCTCGTCACCGTACCTCTCCCGGCACATCTGGTACGCCTCTTGGTGCCAGTCGTCCCACGAGGAGGTAGGAGCCCCCTCCGCCCTTAGCGACAAAGATGGCCATGGGCGCGACTTCATGGGGGGCGATGAAAATGGGGAGGGGGAGCGAGGTGCCCCGTGCGGGCCCTTAGGAGCCCCTTTGGGGCCCGAAAGGGCTCAGGGGCCCTAAAGGCTCGCACTTTCGGCAGCCCACGCTGCCCCCCCCACTCATCGCCGCCCCAGTACAGGCTCGCACTTTCGGCAGCCCACGCTGCCCCCCCCACTCCTCGCCGCCCCAGTACGCGTCCTCCGACTGTGGCGCAGCGCGCGCCCTCCGGATGCTTGCCCAAGGACTGAAGCGGCTGCCCGTGCACTCGTCGGCGATGTGATCGCGGTACTTTCCGCCACTCTGACCGCCGCAGCTTTTCCTTGCGTGTGGATATCCCTCCTCCTTCCGTGCACGGCGGGCCTCCCTCACTTCTTCCAGCGTGTTCCAGGATGTCTTCAAGCGCTGATGGTACGTAGCGTGAGGCGCATTCGAAGATATAGAGGGCTCAACAGCCTCGATCGAGGAAAGATCACACGATGGCTGTACGCCCACACCCACACCAGTCCTACAGACATCATGCAAATATGTACCCGAAACGAATGCTCAACATGCTGGAGATGTCGGGCGGTTATAGATACCAGAACGGGCGATTTGTCAATCTTGATACGGGAACCGTCTTGAACATAAGTCGTGCTCAAGGGGAAAACGTCGACACAGTCAACATCGATCTGCAATGTGGTATCGGTATTTCTCTTTTTTCATGCGTCCCACTGACCAGGGTGGTGTTGAGCGCCCTAAGTCCGTGGCGGGAAAGCCCATCCATGACGAACTGTCTCCGATCGTTCCTCTTTTCCCTTCGGTGCTGCACGAAAGAACCTGTGAGAAGAGAGTGCCGCGCTGAAAGGGTAATATTAGAATCACCCCAACGACCAAGTGACGGGCTCGATCGTGGTGCCGAGGGTGTTTCCAAACCGCAATGACGTTTCCGATGTAGTGTAACGTATCGCAAACTTCACTCTCTGGCTGCTGCGTGGTGCTCCTTTCCTCCATTCCGTCATATCCCTCTTCATTCCTTCTCTCCCCTCCCCCTTCTGTCTGTGCACACCCTCCCTCCACTCGCATCCCATCGCCTTCCATCCTTCATCACTGCCTTCTCTCGCTGCTCTTCATCATAATCCCCCTTGTTCTTTCTAGATAGTAGCACTCACGGCCCAATGGTATGGTTTGCTCTCTCCTCCTTCTGTCATCAAGTCTCCCATCCACCGCAGAATCCGTATCATTTCCTTTCCCCTTTTGACTAAAGGCTCATCTTCCCCTCCCAAACAGTCCTCGGTCAATTCATCCGAATCGGAATCCACCTCCTTCAAGACGCGAAGTTCATCCGTATCTTGGCTTTGGCTGGTGTTGTTCCTGGGCGCGATGCCATGAGGGATGCATGCTACTGCTGCTGGGGCGGGGCGAGGAAAGTCTTCCCTAGGGTGGGGTGGGGGTCCATGGGGGGAGAAAGGGGGGGGTTTTGTGAGTTTGACTGGGAGGACCCTTTGAAAAGACGGGGGGGAACGTTCAAGCAACTTGCAGCACTTGGGGGCCAAATGCGCAGAAACGCTCGGACCTCCTAGCGCGCGCCCTGTGGAGGATTGCGGGGGGTGGGGCCCAGCATGCGAGATTGGACCGCGTCTCCACCGTCCACGCCTCGCTGATCGCTTGGGCACGCCGCGCTCGCGCAGCAGAGCCACGGACGCACGCATCAAGACTGGCATACACGATGCTGGCTAACACATGCTCCGTGACTGTCCGCCTCCAGAAATGAGCGCCCTTCTCCACGGCTGCCTCCCAAGCGGCTTGCACGGCCTCAGCAGCAGTGGCAGCCGCACTCACGTCAATCGTGGCATGCAGCAGCGTCCACAGTCACAAACACCAGTGTCACTAATTCGTCGGCGAGCCCAGGGGGGAAAAGAGAAGGGGCGGGCCTCCTCGGAATTTGGACGCCCGAAATGGGTACGGAACAAAAATGGGTACACTGCCCAACAACAAATGTTGTCCCAAACCAACAGCGGCCGCTGTTGGGCGGGCGGCCCTCTGTCTCGAGTGGACCCAGGCCGAGGCGGCGTGGACAGCGAATCCTGTCTAACATGAACAGGAACAGCCGCTGGGCATCGTGCCCATTCTTTCCGTACCCATTTCGGGCGTCCAGGTCGGAAGGCTGCTCCTCCTCCTCCTCCTCCTCCTCCTCCTCCCTCCTCCCTCCTCCCTCCTCCTCCTCCTCCTCCCTCCTCCTCCTCCTCCTCCTCCTCCTCCTCCTCCTCCTCCTCCTCCTCCTCCTCCTCCTCCTTCCGAGAAGTGTCCCGGGCCTCCCCCGACGGCGCAGGAGGCGCTCCTCCGCGGGATGCGCGCGCTTCTGCGGCGCCCCGCCGCCTCCCGCGGAGGCCCGCCTTCTTCAGCGGTCCCCCGGGCGCGCCGCCGACTGGCAGTGGCGCTGGGAGCAGGAGCAGTGGCAGCGCACGGGATTTAACGGGCGAAGAACGGTATAAAATAAACTTTTTCGCTGTCGGGGGCGCCTGTCCCAGGGCGGCTAGACAGTTTATACCCTTACGGTGGCACCGTAGGGGTATAAACTTTCCAGCCGCCCAGGGACAGGCGCCCCCGACAGCGAAAAAGTTTATTTTATACCGTTCTTCGCTCGCTGAGGGATGAGCGCAACAGTCGCAAATATAGTAGTGGCAAATGTCCATCACAGTATTGATTATAGCGTGGCCACCTGCCGTACATCAGAGATGCGCACACGCGCACACGACATGTTTCATCACTTGATGTGCACCAGTGCTGCATTGTTATCTTTAATGCCCCTCTGCCTTCGTTCAACGATCCTCGCTTTGTTCCGCTGGGGTGCGGTCGTGTTAGAGGCCTCTGGGTCAACCTGCGTGGACAGATGCGATCAATTCGATATGTTTTGACTCGCTACCGAGAGCCCGACAACCCAACAAAAAGACGCCTCCCGTGCAATTGACGCATTCGACAGCCTATCCTTTGACGACGGCGATCGGTCTAAGCTTGACAGCCTTCTTGGATATGCCGGCTGCGTGGCACGTGTCAGCTACTTGAATCACATCTTTGTAGCTCTCTGGCGCCTCCTCCATAACCAGCTTGGGAGAAGCCACACGGATGGATATCCCCATTTCCTCAAGGCGTCCCAACACGTCCTTGTAGTCCAAATTGTTCCTGGACTTGTTGCGGCTCAGAGCACGACCAGCTCCGTGGCAAGTGCTACCAAACGTGTTCTTCATCCCGAAGCTCGTGCCAGTCAGGACGTACGAGCACGTGCCCATCGTGCCGCCGACGATGACTGGCTGCCCAGTGAGCTGATAGTCCACTGGGATGAGCGGATGGTGTGGCGGGAATGCGCGCGTGGCTCCCTTCCTGTGCACGAGGAGCTGCTTGACGTGCCCGTCCACCATGTGCTCCTCGATCTTGGCGATGTTGTGGGACACATCGTAGATGAGGTGCATGTCCAGGTCCTCTGGGGACTGGTTGAACACCTTCGAGAACGCCTGACGCGTCAGAAACGTCATGGACGCCCGGTTCACCCAGGCGTAGTTCGAGGCCGCCGCCATCCCGGCCAGGTAGTTCTGGCCCTCGGCCGAGGTGATGCTCGGAGGCGGGCCAACCGAGACGACGGCGGCTCTCACGCCCGGCTCTGTTCCGTCCAGACTCGGTCCCGAGACCACTCCGGGGACCCGCCCCGACGCCTCTTCCGAGGCCGACCCGGCCGTGGTGACGAGACGCCTCCGGGATGCCCCTAAGCGGGGGGGGGGCGGACAAACACGCCAGTGAGGGCCGCCGCGGTCTGGACGAGCCACCCTCCGAGATGCGGGCGCACGCGAGCTGGCGGTCGTTCACCTGCCGAGGCACCAAACAATCTGCGCACACTGGGCCATCCAAACCTCTGCGCCCCGCGCCCCCGCGGTGCGCGGAGCTCTGTGCGCCACCGCCTCCTCGCGCCCACCCCCTCGGAAGAAGGGCGGCCGCTCTGGCCCAGACTGCAGCGCGCGAGGCGCGGTTCTCTTCGGCCCACCGCGGGTGACCCGGGTGCGCATCCAAAAACCGTCGGAGGTCCGCGCGGATTTCCGGGACGGATCGACCCTTGGGACCCCCTCGCCTCGGCGGGGAGCCAGCCAGGTGCGGTCCCCCTTCTGGCGCACCCCAAGCCCCAAGACCCAAGCCCCTCTGGCGCCGCCCGTGGCGCGCTCCGCGCGCCCGGGAGGGGGCCCCAGCGCCCATCGTGAAAATCCGCGCGGGCCCCCGAGAATCAGAGATTCTGCAGAGTGGTCGAGAAGGAGGGGCAGGAGCAGGAGGAGGAGGAGGAGGAGGATCAGGAGACTTTTCTTTCCGAACCTGGATCTTGTCGCGGACCATCGCCCTCTCCATCTCCACGAGGGCATCCGTAGCGACCTGGTGCCCGAGGCCGCGGCTGCCCGAGTGGATCATGACGCAGACCTGGTTGATCTGGTCGATGCCCATCTTCTTGGCGACGAATGGGTCGTAGATCTCCTCCACGACCTTCGGGCCAAACGAGAAGGGGGGACAACAAACCCCCACCTCCCCTCGCGGTGAACAAAAATCGTCACTGGATTCCGTGTGGCAATTTTCGGCCTCTGGGGGCACTCACCAGGCCCCGGGAGTATGAGAAATGACTCGGGATGCAAGTCCTGTCCTGGGGATGGGGTCCCGATCTCTGGGGGCACCACGACGTGAAGGAAAAAAAGGAGGAGGGCGAGAGGTAGGAGGAGGAGGAGGAGGAGGAGGAGGAGGAGGAGGGAGGAGTAGGAGTAGTCGTAGTAGTCGTAGTAGTAGTAGTAGTAGTAGTAGTAGTAGTAGTAGTAGTCGTAGTAGTAGTAGTAGTAGTAGCAGTAGTAGTAGTAGTAGTAGTAGTAACAATAGTAGTAGTAGTAGTAGTAGTAGTAGTAGTAGTAGTAGTAGTAGTAGTGGTAGTAGTAGTAGTAGTAGTAGTAGTAGTAAGAGTAGTAGTAGTAGTAGTAGTAGTAGTAGTAGTAGTTAGTAGTAGTAGTAGTAGTAGTAGTAGTAGTAGTAGTAGTAGTAGTAGTAGTAGTAGTTCGTAGTAGTAGTAGTAGTAGTAGTAGTAGTAGTAGTAGTAGTAGTAGTAGTCGTAGTAGTCGT